CTCTCAGCTTACTCTGGAAAGGAAATCCCCCGTGTTCCCATCAGCCACTGGAGAGCCTCATGTCAAACAAGGATCAAGCATTGCATGCTTCCCAAAGCTTTCATTTATTTCCTTTGGATTTCCCATATTCCTTGTGCCTTTGCTCCGAGCCCAGCAGACTTCCCTCTGTCTGTTAACCCTGCTGTTCCAACACCACCTCTGCAGAGGGGTGCTCAGAGCCAAGCTCTGACAAGAGCTGTGCTCCTGGAGGTGACACTGATTTTGGTGACCCAGAACAACAAACCTGTGTCAGGCTTTACTCCCAGGCAAGGGGAATCAGGCAGAACTCAGCAAGGCACAGGGTGACATCTCCTCACAGAACTACCAGGAGGCAAAAGGCGAAATGCATGAAGGAACAAACAGCACAGAAAGAGAAGTTATTTACATGGGGTGTTCTTTATTCCCACAGGGCCTGTCTAGCACTCTATAAGAGAGCTGAATTCTGGGTTAATTTGCAATACTTTTGGTTTGCTTGTGAGGTTGTGGAGATGTGCTGCTGTCACAATGTGCTGTGTTTGTCTCAGAGAATGTGCCTTGGAGGGTCCCAGAATGACTGCACAGAAATGAGAAGGAGTATTTGTGATAAAAATGAGCCCTGAATGGTATTAGATCTTCCTGAGTGGCCTTCCAGATCCTGAAGGGATCCTACACAAAAGATGGAGGGGGATTTTTTACAAGAACATGTAGTAACAGGACAAAGGAGAATTCTTCACACTGACAGAGAGCAGGTTTAGATTAGATATCAGGAAAAACTTCCCTGTGAGGGTGGTGGGGCCCTGGCACAGAGAAGCTGTGGCTGCTCCAGCCCTGGAAGTACCCAAGGCCAGGTTGGATGAGGCTTGGAGCAGCCTGGGACGGTGGAAGGTGTCCCTGCTCATGGCAGGAGGTGGAACTGGGTGAGCTTTAAGGTCCCTTCCAGCCCAAACCATTCTGTGTTTGCATAGACTGGAATATGGCAAATATTTTATGAGCCAAAATGCAGAGAGACCCCCACAGACAGAGCATGTCAACACAGTGCAGGTGACAAAAAGATGCATTTAAAGAGCATCAGTGGGATCAGCTGCTGGGCTGGAAACTTTGGGGGTTAAATATTACTGATGCGATGGGTTTATTTTGTATTGTTTTTGAGCAAAGCAGAAATTCAGCTCTTAGCTGCTGGTGGGTCAGAGGGTGGGAGACCACTCTGCTTCACTAAACAAATCAAACCAAGATTGGAGCATCTGTTTCAAAAGCTGCAGGAGCAGAGAAGGCGGGGCAGGGAGCCACCGCGGCATTGTCTCGGAAGGTGAATGTAGCAGAGCCATTAGCACTCTGTTCATCTGCAGTCCCACGGGAAAAGGAACCCAATCTCAGCCCGCTGGTCTCCAGTTTCATCTCGCTGGGTGACCTTGGGCAGCACATTTCATCTCAGGTTTGCACCAGAAAACAAACGGGACTGAGAGTGGCACGGGCAAGGCAAAGCCCAAAGGGATCCGCGGGATGTGGGGCAACCTCCTGGCACAAGGGGGTCTGCGAGTGCTGTGGTTTTGGGTATGCTGGTTTCAGCCAAGAAAGCCTCACTGTTTCAACTTTTCCTGGCTCTCAGAACAGCAGCTCCAGCTTTTGCTCAGCTCTGGTGAAACAGAGGAGATGAAGTGTTTAAAAGGTGTCTTTAGAGAGGTGTGGAGGGGCAGAGGCGAGCTCCAGCCCAGAGCAGTGGAGGAGGATGCTGTGTGAAACAGAGGAGATGAAGTGTTTAAAAGGTGTCTTTAGGTGTGGAGGGGCAGAGGCGAGCTGCAGCCCAGAGCAGTGGAGGAGGATGCTGTGTCCACCCCAGCACTGGAGCCTGTGTGGGCAGCCTCCTCCTCTCAGCTCCACTGTGACACCTGGACTGCAGCCCATGTTTAGAGAGTGGAATACACCTCCACGCTGCTTAAATGAGGCTCTAAAAGGCAGGTGAACTTTACTGCTGAATTTTTAAAGCAAGCCTTTAATGTTTAACCAGTGCTGATTTTCTAAGGGTTGTTGAACACGTGTGGCAGAGGGCTGGACAGCAGCTCCTCAGTGCCACTGCAGAAAGGGCTGGGCTGCAGGTGTGAAGCTGCCTTTTCCTTTTCCTTTTCCTTTTCCTTTTCCTTTTCCTTTTCCTTTTCCTTTTCCTTTTCCTTTCCCTCAGGGATCCTTCCCCTCCTCAGAGCCGAGTTACCCCAGTACCTCCATCACAAACTACTGAATTTTCTGGCCTCGCTGACTGCAGCTTTGCCACAAACCTCCTTTGCAACTTCTTTCAGCTGCTTTCCTAGTAAGGTAAATGGGAATAACAATACCATGAACAATCCTTAAAAGCTTTTTCCTGCATGTGACGTGCCAATGCGCTTGAATTGCTGTTGAATTTTTTTTAATTTTTGCCACCAGATGATGCATAAAAGTTGAGGCAAAAGCAGAATTTGAAGTGAAATGCCCTTGTGATGGGGGAAGTGGAGGCTGAATGCTATCTCCAGACCAGATGTCCTTCCTGGAAGACATTCTCCTCTCTAACTGCAGGAGTTCCTGGGCTGGGCTGCTGAGGGGTGAGAACTTCTTTCTGAGGAGCTCCCATGAGAAAAAACACAGGGTCAGTGCCAGCCTTTGAGGCAAACACCCAGTCCTGGTAGGTGGAAGGACAGGCAGGGCCCTTGGGAATGCCCTGGAGAGCTGGCCCTGTGTCAGGGGAAAAGGCTGGCCACTGACACTGGAAAATGCCAAGGTGACCTTCTGGCAGCAGGAGAAAAAAGTGCTGGAAAATAGGAACTATAGTCAGGGCTGCACAGCAGAGAAAAAGATGGATTAGCACTCACCAAAATCTCATCCAGCTTTTATGACCTGAACAAAAGGGAAACAGCCACAATTAAGGCACAAAGTAGTTACAGGCTGGTGTAAATTCTGTAGCAAGGAGATGGAAATAGTGCTTTATTTTTCCTTCTGTTCTCTCTGAGGAAATTTAGCAATAAATGAGGAACAGGAGAGACATACAATTATCTTTAAAAAAGAAAGTTGCACTGTGATGAGAAATTCAGTATATTTATTTGTAAATAAATACATTTTGTTTTTATTCTGAATATATATTTATAGAGTAGATGTTGCAGGCCTTGAGTAACTTTGTGGCTTTTGATGCCAAGTTGTGCTGCAAAGGTCTTTAGGAAAAGTGCTCTGGCTCCACAGGCTGCAGCCCTGGGAGCTCTGACATTTGACAGTCAATGGTTGTTTTTGAGCAGTGGCAGGCTGGTCTCCTCAGTCTGAGATAGCAGAACATTTCAGGAAATATTGCTGATCAGAAATAGCACTGCAGCTTCCTGAAATGCCTGCCCAGATAAGGGGACAGTCCACAGCTGGAAGTGATAAGGAGGCAGGAGAAGACAAAGCAGCAGTAAATGTGATGTTCCTTCAATACCAGCAGGCACAGGGGCAGCTGGTGCTTAGGGAGAACATGAAAGGAGGCTCTGAAGGTGCAGAACCTTCCCCAGCTGGTCTCTCACACCCCTCTCCTCCAGCACTCTTGGTGCCACATGCCTCTCTTGCCCCAGGACCAGCTGCTCAGCCACTCTTTGACACCCCAAAGTCGGGCAGTGTTGGCATCATTTCCTCCACAGAGCCCCAGCCCCAAGGACTGTCACTGAATGGTGACAATTCCCCAGCACATGGCCTGACAAACAGGGGCCCCTCACCCTGAGCTGCAAAGCCCCCAGGATTCACCAAACCCTGCACAGGTTTTCTGAGCTGGTGGGAGAGGGGGAAGCTGAGAGGTGAGGATGCCTCCCAGTGTCCTTCTAGTGTCACTTGTCTGGGTGATCCCCTTGCACCTCACCAGAGAGCACAGTTTGGGGAATGTTTGCTCGAGGAGTGGGTTCACAGGTGTGCAATAAGTCATGTAATAAATTAAATAATACACTGCAGTGATAGAGTAAAGGGCTGAGGTGAGCAGGTCCCTTTGCTCTGATCTACTGTGGGATGAGCAGGATTAGATTGTGTTTGGGAGCTGTGCTCTGCTCCTCCTGCCCTGACCCAAGAAAATTCCTGCTGCTCAAGGGCAGGTGCCAGTTTGGTGGAGAATCATAGAACCATGGAATATCCTGAATGGAAAAGGGTTAGGATCATCCAGTCCAGCACAGCCCTGCACAGGACACTCCAGCAATCCCAGCCCGTCCCTGAGGGCGCTGTCCAAGCACTCCTGGGGCTCTGGCAGGGCTGTTGCCGTGACCCCTCCGTGGGACGGGCTGAGCCCATCTCCACACAGACACAGCCCGCCTTATTCTGCTTCTCTGCCCACGAGACCCCGCCCGGGTCTGGAGCCCTCAGCCCGGGAAGGACACGGAGCTGCCGGGGCCAGTCCAGAGGAGGCAGCAGGCTGCTCAGAGGGATGGAGCAGCTCTGCTGTGAGGGCAGCCTGAGACAGCTGGGGCTGCCCGCCTGGAGAAGGCTCCGCCGAGACTTTGGAGCCCCTTCCAGCCCTAAAGGAGATCTGGAGAGGAACTTGGGACAGGGGTTGGAATGACAGGCCAGGGGGGAACGGCTTCCCGCAGCCAGAGGGCAGCGCCAGGTGGGACCCGGGGCAGCGCTCCCCTCACGGCCGGGACCCGCCGCCCCTCAGCGAGATGGCGGCGGGGGGGCCGCACGTGCGGGGGCGCCGAGACTTTGGAGCCCCTTCCAGCCCTAAAGGGGCTCCGGGAGATCTGGAGAGGGACTTGGGACAGGGGTTGGAATGACAGGCCAGGGGGGAACGGCTTCCCGCAGCCAGAGGGCAGCGCCAGGTGGGACCCGGGGCAGCGCTCCCCTCACGGCCGGGACCCGCCGCCCCTCAGCGAGATGGCGGCGGGGGGGCCGCACGTGCGGGGGCGGGGCCTGCCCGCGCCCCCGCAGCACAATGGACAGCGCCCTGCGGGG